TACGCAATGTATAAGATGAGCCTGAAACATCTTGTTATATCATATAACAAAGACTTTTAATGTGGGGTCGTAAAACTGGGGCCAACTTGAAGAGGCTCCCATTGGCCAAAGTGAGATAATTAAAGCATTAATAAGAATAATAACTTCACTGGATCAATACAATGTGTTCATGATTTAAAAAAAAAAAAAAAAACTAATTGTTCAGCATTGGAAGGTACTAGAAGACTGGGAAATAAAGGGAAAGGGTCAAATGACCAAATACGATTACCCATAGCTTACTGTCTTAGTTATCTAGTGCTGCTATAACAGAAATACCACAAGTGGATAGCTTTAACAAAGAGAAATTTATTCTCTCACAGTTTAAGAGGCTAGAAGTCCGAATTCAGGGTGCCTACTCCAGGGGAAGCCTTTCTCTCTCAGTCAGCTCTTGGGGAAGGTACCTGTCATCAACCTTCCCTGGTTGAGGAGCTTCTCAGCACAGGGACCCCAGGTCCAAAGGACACGCTATTCTCCTGGCTCATCTTTCTTGGTGGTATGAGGTCCCCATGTCTCTCTGCTGCTTCTTGCTTTTATATCTCAAAAGAGATGGACTTGAAATACAACTTAATCTTATAGATTGAGTCCTGCCACATTAACATAACAGTCGCTAATCCCACTTAATTAACATCATAGAGGTAGGATTTACAACATATAGGAAAATCACTTCGGATGACAAAACTGTGGACTATCACACAGTACTGGGAATCATGGCCTAGCCAAGCTGACAGATATTTTTGAGGGACATAATTCAATCCATGACACTTATCCATTGACTTGTTTGACCAAACATTAGTCAAGCTTCTCTCCTCCCCATAGACCCCTGATCTTTGGCAGGCCCCCAAGCTTAAGCAAGCACTAAAGTGAAGAACATCCCCTTTAACAGCTCATTCTGAAACGCCACCAACCACAAAGAGAAACACATCCTGTTAAACCGCCTTGAATATGCTGTCTCCTCACCCAAGTGCATGCCCTCTTGCCCCACAAAGTTTCTGCTAGCCCTGCTTAAAATAAACTCCTTTTTCTGTTTGTTTTTGAGTCACTTGCAGATTCTGAGGTGAGAACATTCTCCCTATTACAATAGTCTTTTGTTGTTGTTGTTGCTGAGAATATGCACAGCAAAACATACACCAATTCAAGTTTCTGCACGCACAGTTCAGTACCACTGATTACATTCTTCGAGTTGTGCAACCATTCTCACCCTTCTTTTCTGGGTTATTCCTCCCCCGTTAACATAAATTCACTTACCCCTAATGTTTGTATCTAGTCTTTCAAGTTGCTGTTCTCAATTTGATCCCATATAAACCAAACCCATTGCTGTCAAGTTGATTCCAACTCATAGCAATCCTGTAAGATAGAGCAGACTGATCCCATATAGATAGCTCTTAAAAAAGCATAATGCTCAAGGCAGATACTTTTTCTAGTTAAGCTAAACTATTCTTTGGTTTTAAGAATAATTCAGGGGATGTTCTTGGTTTAAGGTTTAAAGATTATTTCAGGGCAATAGTTTCAGGGGTTCATCCAGTCTCCAGGGCTCCAGAAATGCTAGAGTCCATGAGAATTTGAGATTCTGTTCTGAATTCTCCTCTGTTTGATCAGAATTCTTCTACAGAATCTTTGATTAAAACATTCAGTAATGTTAGCCAGGCACCACCACTTCTTCTAGTCTCTTGGTAAAGGAGGAAGTTGTCCATGGAGGCAATTATCCACACATTCCATTTCCTCTTCCTATTGCTAACTCTCCTTCTTCCTCTGTTTCTCCAGGCAAATAGAGACCAATTTTGCCTTGGACAGCTTCCTGTAAGCCTTTTTTTTTTTTCCATTGTTGTAGTTTAAATGAAGTTTACATTTCAAGTTAGTCTCCCATACAAAATTTTATACATACATTGTTATGTGACCCTAATTGCTCAACCCATTCTGCGACAGCCAACCCCTCCTTTCCACCCCTGATTCCCCATGTCCATTCAACCAACTCCTAACCCTCTCTGCTCTCCCATCTCACCTCTGGACAGAAGTTGCCCATTTGGTCTCTTGTATCTACTTGAGACAAGAGGCACACTCCTCACGAGTATCACTTTATGTCCCACAGTCCAGTCCAATCCCTGTCTGAAGAGTTGGCCTCGGAAATTGTTTTAGTTC